CTAATTATACATATAGATATATAAAAAATATTAATTATATACATAAATTATTAGCCATTACATTATATTAAAGTAATTTAGATTATTAAATCATATTGAATATATAATTTATGTACAATTTGGACAATATATAATTTATTTATTTTGATATTATTAATGATTTTCTAAAAAAATATAAATAGAATCTAATTTTAATAAATTAATAATTTAGCTGTACACAAAAAGAATTAAAAAAAACACTAAAATTTATGTATAATTTGGACAACTTAGAGCATCTCCAACGCAAGAGCCAAAAGGGGAGAATTAGGCATTTTGCCTATTGAAGTCGGATTTTGAAGCTCCAACGCGCTCTGCATCTGAGGAGGCATTTTGCCAATTCTCGTTTTGGCTCTCCACAACAAGGTTCTAAATATCGGCCGGTACATGTCGTATCGGCCGGTTCGTAACGGAAAATGGGAGTGCCGAGTCAGATACTCACCGGTATACCGGTGAGAATGAATTTCACGTCCGTAGTGGCCGATTCCCGACATGTATCGGCGTGTATCTGATTTGTGAGCGCTCTAGTTCCAATATAGTCCGATTCGGCTGAAAAACGAGCAAACCATATGGAAAAATAATTGAGGAAAAAAAGTCACCTGGAAAAACAAATCACCTGGATAGCAAATTTGTCTTCTTCAAGCAGTAATACATACACACAGACTTACGGACAGCAGGAGACCATAAATGTGTAAAAACCTTTAAAATTTTCCCTCAATCGGACCAAACTCAACTCCCCAATCAAACCCAAATCCATCTCCCAAGGGTATCGATCTTGTAAAGTGTTGCAAGGAGAAGCATCGAATCGAACCCAAACCATCACCGATTTCAAGCTTCTTCGTTGAAGGTTTTTCTCTCATGCTCTGTTTGCATTTGTTTCATGCTCTGTTTTTGTTTTGGCTGAAGACTTCTTCAAATGGTTTTGCTTGTGTTCGGTTTGTTTATATTATCTTTTTTTTTTTCTTCTTTCTTCTTTTTTTTCTTTTTTCTGTGGTTATTTTTTTATTTATATTATGGTATGGGATGGTTTTGCTTGGTAAAGTGTTTTTGGTTTGTTTATAATTTTTTTTTTTTTTTTTTCTGGTAAGTTGTTTATAATGGTTTATAATTTGTTTGCTTGGTAAGTTGTGTTTGGTTATTTTTTTATTTATATTATGGTATGGGATAGTTTTTTTCTTGATTTTTTTAAATAACCAAACTATATATAATAAAATATTAATAATACAAATAAAAAAAATTAACAGCTTTTGTTTGCTTGATGGGGGATGAGACTAGAGTCACCCTGATTATTGATTGAAAGTGCATTAAAATAGATCAAAATAAATAAATAAAATTTAAAAAAAAATGTAATGCACATTCTACGGCAGGCAAATTAGACCATTATGTGAAATATTCCATAGCATTCCACAAACGCCGTGGCATGTTCTACTTATTTATGGTAGGTTGAGCAAGTCATTGTATTACATATTTTACAGCACACAATCAGCGTTGTTATTTGTCCCACCAAATAACGGCATGCAAAAGTAGTCGTAGAAAAAGTAAAAAACATGCACAAGATCTGCTGTTAAATAGTTGTTAATGGCGCACTATGGCATGTCGTTGAAAGTGAATGACTTTCCATGACTGGTTATAATATGACATGACGTTGCACGTCGTCGAATAGTATCCACGACGTTCATTTGGTGCCATAAAACTCCTTTTTTGTTGTAGTTCTACTACCATCAAACAAGAGAACCCATTGTGGTAAAAATCACATCCCACGATCTCAAAGTATTTCAACCTGGTAGCTCCGACACCATGTTGTAATGCCCCAAAATAAATAACACAACCCATATCATAATCATCACATACAATTAATCAACAACATTTTATATTCTCTTTCGTTATATCTTAGATCATTACAAAATGTGACATATGCAATATATATTCACAAATATTAGATCCTGAATCTATAGCATATGGTATGAACAAGGATAATAATAATAAAAAAGATAAGTAAAACCAAGTAATGAAATGCCCTAATGGCTACAACTTTCCAAGACGATACTTGGTAACAACAAAATGAGTTTAAAGTCAATATAAGTAAAGCCTGAGGCTTAAACAAAAATAATTACGTTACTAAACAAAAATAAAGCCTTTAGCTCCAAGTCCTCCCAAGCTACGTCTTTGGCGGAGGCATATCATCAATACCT